CACTGCCGCCTCCATGCTGGCTGCTCCTCGCTTACCCAACAGAGCTGCACCTCCTAGGAGCCTGCACTGCCAGCTGGCTGGGCACCGTCATGGCTCATTCAGCCCTCTCCGCCCTCAGCCCTGGGACGACAGCCCTGGGTCTGCCTGTTCACACAGCTTAAGGCTTGCTGTCACCAGAAGCACCTCCCTGGAGTGCTGCAAGGTGAGCTGTTAGCCCATTTTCTGGTGAAAACACTGAGGCCGCACAGCTAAGTGTGCCTGAGACGGGAAAGCTGTCGAGCAAGGGACGCAAGCCTCCCTAAACCCTGTATCCCTGGTCCTTGCATCCACCCCACGGTGTGGAGGGAACTGAGGTCCAGAGGAGGCAGCCGGGGACCCAGCCAGTGTCTGGACACCCAGGGGACAGACAGGCTCGGGGAGCCAGAAGTGCTGTGTCTTGGCACAGCACCTGCCCTGTGAAACTTTAACCCAGGAGCTGGGGGAAATCCCGAGCTAATGCTGGCGGCTCTCCAGGAGGGCGCGGGTCACGGGCCAGAGGTCGGGGATGGGAGGCTCCCGCGAGGCAGGTCGGGGCAAGTGCCCTGGGACTCCAGGGGCAAGGGTGCAGGGGAGGGTCAGAGGTCACCTGGCTTTCGAAGTCTGCAGGGCAGATTTCTGGGAAGACGCAGAGAGCGAGGGGGCAGACGGCCACATTGGCACCAGGTGGCTGCTGGTGCCACCTGGGGGCGGAGGCCTTGGGGACGCTGTGGTAGGCCAGGAACCAGACTGCCTGGGTTCTCTTCTTACAACCAAACTTGTCTGCGACCATTACCACAGTGAGCACCGAGCAAATACCAACAATGCAGTGAATTCCCTCAACACCCGTGCGAGACACCAGTTATTATAATCTACAATTTAGGGGTCTGGTGCTGTGGCACAGCGGGTAAAGCCGCCGCCTACAGTGCTAGCATCCCATATGGGCACCAGTTCGAGTCCCAGCTTTCCGATCCAGCTCTCTGCTATGGCCTGGGAAAGCAGTAGAAGATGGCCCAAGTCCACCCGCGTGGGACCCTGAAGAAGCTCCTGGCTTCTGGCTTCAGATTGGCTCAGCTCCAGCCTTTGCGACCATCTGGGGAGTGAACCAGCAGATGGAAGACCTCGCTCTCTTTCTGCCACTCCTTCTTTCTCTGTGTAACTGACTTTCAAATAAATAAATAAGTAATCTTAATAACAAAAAAACCCTACGATTTAGGGACCAGCATTGTGGCGCAGTGGGTTGAGCTGCCCCCTGTGGCGTCGGCATCCCATATGAGTGCCGGTTCGAGTCCCAGCTGCTAACTTCTGATCCACTTCTCTGCTAAGGCACCTGGGAAAGCAGCAGAAGGTGGCCCCCGCACCCACGTGGGAGACCCGGATGGAGTTCCAGGCTCCTGACTTTGGCCTGGGCCAGCCCTGGAAATTGCAACCATTTTAGGAGTGAGCCAGCTGATGGAAGATCTCTCTCTCCCTGTCTCTCTTTGTAACTCTGCCTTTCAAAGAAATAACTGACTCCTTTAAAAAGCACACGATCTACAACTGGCACACGAGGCAGCTGAGACTGCGTGGCTGAGGAGTCTGGGGACTGGGCCCGGGTGCACCCCAGTGTGCGTACAGGACTCATCTGCTCCAGACCCCTGTTGTGAGCTTGTCATGCGCACTCTCGTTGGAGCCACCAACCTCTGTGGGACACACAGTTTTGAGTCCCAGATGAAGAGACTGGTTCCGTCATGCAAGGGCTTGCACGAGGTCCCCTGGCCAGTGCTGGACTCCAGGGCCCAGGCTCCCACCTGTGCTATGGACAGCCCCCTGCCCCGAGCCTCTGCTTCCTCATGACCCTGAGCGTCCCAGTGCACAGATCCGGCACTGCTGCCCTCAGTCCATGGCATATGTCATTTCTTCATGAAGTTATTTTGGAAGGCAGAGTTACAGAGAGGGTAGGGAAAGACAGAGAGAGAAATCTTTGCCTGCTGGTTCACTCCCCAGATGGCCACAAAGGTTGGGGCTGACCCACCCAGGTCTCCTACGTGGATGCAGGGGCCCAGGCGCTCAGGCCACCCTCCGCTGCTTTCCCAGTGCGCTAGCACGGAGCTGCGCTGGAAGTGGAGCAGCCGGGACTCAAACAGCGCCATGTGGGATGCTGGCGTCGCAGGCAGTGGCTTGACCCATTGTGCAACGCTGCGCCTTCCCCCTGTTGCCATAGGACTGGCAGCTTCCTGAAGGCAGGGGCTCCCTGTGGCCCTGGGGCCTGCCTCACGCAGTGAGCTGGTTGTGAGGGAGGGAGGTCCCCAGCCCGCGACCTCCAACCTCTTCCCCACCAACGCGCTGTGTGCGAGCGGCACCTGCCTCACGGGGTGACCGGACAGAAGCTATGGAACACTGGTGCTACGCACCAGTTCCCACAGTGACCTTTCTCAGAATGACGCTCAGAATCCGCTGACCCTTCTGTTAAGTCTGGAAGCCGGCAAACCAGCTTCCGTGATCGAACCAGATGGAAGACATCGGTCGCCAAGCAGAGAGCTCACAGGGGTCTCTGAACTCCCATTCCAGGAGTCAAGTACAGCAAGGAGGTTGGGTGCTGGGGCACGGCGGGGTAAGTTGCTGCCCGGGACCCCTGTGTATCCTAGATCAGCGTGCCTGGGATCAAGTCCCCCTCGGCTTCCCACCGCTGTGCACCCTGGAAGGCAGCAAACGATGGCTCCAGTTCTTGGCTTCCTGAGACTCTCGCGGGAGACCCGCATAGATTTCCCGGCTCCTGGCTTTGGCCTGGCCCAGCCCTAGCTCTTGTGAGCATTTGGGGAGTGAACCAAGCAGATGGAAGATTTTCTCTCTCTCTCTGTCACACTGCCTTTCAAATAAACAAACTTTAAAATACAATTAGAAGATATTAGATTTTTCTACCGGCGTTCCCTAGGGCTCGTCTTTTTTTAGAAAAAGAACAGCTGAAGTCCTGAAGCCAACCAAGACACCTCGGGGCCACCTGCAGCCCTCTGCCCGTGGGCGCCCAGATGCACCTGCAGAGCCCGCGGGTGCCAAGACCAGAGCTGTCAGCTTTATGGCGCACCCAAGTCTTTCACAACCTGCGTCTCCTTCAGCCTCCCAGCAGCCTTCACAGTTAGTGGGAAGAGGCTGACGTTCTTTCCAGGGAGACCCAGAGCAGGGTGGGCCGGCCCACGTTCACACAGCAAGGCAGCTGCGGTGCCCGGGCTTGAACCCAAGTCTCCAGGGTGCTAGCCCAGCGCCAGCCACCACAGCCTGTTCCAGGATGCAGGCTGCCTGCTTCAGGTGCTCTGGCCTTCCACTTCCGCCTCCTCTGACCCGGTCGCCCTGCTCAGCCTATGACCCAGGCCTGCCGATGCAGCCTGGGCTTGGCAGGTGAGGAGATTCACTGTGGCTCTGCTCCCTGGGAGGCAGGCGCAGTGGGTGAGCCTCTGCCCGGCACTTGCAGACCAACAGTCTCCACCCGCTGATTAACCACACGCACCACCCCACACCTAGGCCCAGACACCGCCCTCCCCCACCCGTCTCCGGGCTGCACTCATTCCGACACTCCCGTTTCACCTAGGTTATACAGCCAGATGGGGATTTGTTGGGCTCTTTAAAAGACAAACAGAAACCTAATCTTCCAGTGCTGTCAAGGAACCCAGGCTCACGACACTGGTGTCACTGCGGGGTGCCAGGAGAGGCCCACCTTCTCTCCCCCAATATTCCTGCAAATTCCACCATGCAGAGAGGCTTCTGGGGTGGCCGACACCACCAGCAGGTGCTAAAGACAGGCTCACACGCGTGTGCAAGTATGACCCAAGCACCGCACTGAGCACACCATCGACTTCAACCCAACAGTTCTTTCCACAGATGGGAAGCCTGACGTGGGAGCAGGTGCCCCACTCGCACTCACACAGCCCGGAGCCGGTGGTGTTCCATGGATGCCACCCCCCCCCCGATTTTATTTTATTTTATTTTTTTTTTATCCCATCCGCGGCCATCCCGGAGGTGGTGGAAGACGGGTACTTAACACACAGGGCCGGGGAACAATGGCCTTTTGTCATCTGAAACAGATCCGCATTTTCTCCGGCCACCAGACACTTCAGCGAGCCCGGCTCTGACCGGGTGCCCACTGGAGGCCCGTGACCCGCGTCCCGTGGACAGCCCCCCACTCCCTCCCCACCGTCGCCCAGGCCCTGGGTTCACCGCTCCTGCCCTCCCTCACCTGGCTCCAGCTGACCTGGCCTCCCGCCCCCGCCCCCGCTGGAATGCCCGTGCCACCAGACCTGTGCGGCGCCCTCCTCCTGTCCTTTCCGCTCAAACACCACCTCACCGGAGGCCCTCCCTGGCCAGCCTCCCCACCCCTGGCCCTCCCGTGGTCCTTCCCGATCCACTTTCTGATGGTCTGTTATTTGCTGAATGAACAAAAGAACCCGGGCTGAGAAGCCCTGAACCCACGGCAGCCCTCTTGCGCCTTGTCTGAACCCCGAAGACAGAGTCGGTGGGCACGCTCCTCCAGGGGGCGGTCCCCCCGGGACATCAGGCCCCCCGCCCTCCCTTTCCGAGCGGAACGCACTCACAGGCAGTCTGGGGCTCCTCCAGAGACAGCGAGCCAAGCTGCACCCAGGGACCTGTAGCGGCCAGCAGTTTCACTTTCTGCTAACCTGGCCTCAGGTTGCAACTCCACCCATGCACCGTGCCATCCCTTTTGGGAGCTGATCCAGAGCTCCAGGCGTCCCGGAGGCTCCGGGGGTGGGGGAGCGTAAGCATCCCCAACAGGTAGGAGGGGCGGACGCGCGGCCCTGTCACCCACACGGATCCCCCACCTTGCAGGGGGCGTCCGACGGGGCGGCATCTGCTTTCGGGTGCAGGAGGGAGCCCTCCCACCGCTGGCCGAGAGCGACCCTTGCACGGGGCTGAGCGGCGATGCTTAGGCCGGGGACACAGATGGAGGAGGCGGACGCACGTTAAAACATCCTTGGCCGGGGTCCTGGACCTACCCTGGGATGGGGCCTGCCCTCAGCGTCGCGAAGCGGCCGAGATGCTTCCTGGGCGAGGAGGGGCGCAGGAGGGGGCCCGGGAGAGCCCGGGGCCAGAGCGTCTCAGCTCGGGGATCTCGTCAGGCTACGGCCGGGGTCCGGGTTAGCACTGGGGTCGGCGGGGCGGAGCCTGGGATCCCGGGGGCTGGAGCCCCAGGCGGGAGGGGGTCACGGCGGCGACCCCGTGGCCGTTACCTTGCCCGTCGGGCTGAGGGCCACCGGGTGCTGGCTCCCGGGCCCGGCCCCTCCCCCGATCCGGCTCCTACGGCTCGCAGCCTGCAGCCGCCGCCGCCTCCGCTGTCAACAAACCCCGGGCGCGTCACTTCCGGGGCCGCCCCTTAGCAACAGCGCACGGGTTCCCCCGGTGGGTCCCGCGGCGAACGCGGGCGGCGGCGGCGGAAGGTTCCGGGGCTCCGCGGGCCGCCCCGGGCCCGGCCTTGGCCGTGCGCACGTGCCCGGGGCTTTGCGCGAAGGACCCCGCGCTGGGCGCGCGCTCCGGCCCTGCCTTGCCCGCGAGCCCTGGACCGGCTGCAGCTTCCAACCCCGCGTCCCGCGCGCCGTGGGTCGCGTGGCCTCTCCACGGGCGGCTCCCGCTCTGGGGCCCCCCTCGATCCCGCCCCGGCCGCACGGCTCCTCCACACCGCGAATCCGACCCGGAGCGTGCACGAGGACCCGGCGCGCTGGGCGGGCTCCGCACGCACTCTCATCGCGCCCCTCCACTCTCCACTCCACTCCAGACCCCTCCCCGCAGCTCCGGACGCTTCCCTGTGACCTTGCCCGTGACCTAGGCTTCTCCCGCACCTGCCTTCTGGGCCTCAGGCTCAGCTCAGAGGCTGTCTTGTCCCTCATCTCCCCGAGCCATGAATGTTGTGGGGTTTTTGTGTTTCGTAGCAGCTTTTAGTCTTTGACCATGCACAACCATGTTGGGACAACCTTGAACCCTTTAAAAATCCGGTTGATGGGTTAAAATTACCGCAGCCTGGGGCAGGGGTTTGGCCCAGGGGCCTAAGTCGTCTCTGGGGCTGCCCACGACCCATATCCGAGTCCCTGGTTTGACTCCCTGCTGCTTCCTGTCCAGGCGCACCCCTGGGCGTCAGCAACTGATGGCTCGGGTGCTGGAGACCCGGATGGAGTTCCTGGCTCCTGTTTTGGCTTGGCCCTGGCTGTGGCAGGCATTTGGGGTTGAACCAGTAGATGGAAGTTTTTCTCTCTCTTTCTCTCTCTAACTTTGCCTTCCAGATAAATAAATAAATAATTTTAAAAAATCCTAACCATACCTTGGCTTCTTGTGCTCCCACAGCTGGGTGTGCAGGACTTAGTTTTTAAAAATATCCGTGTGGGGATAGCACTGGCATCCCATATGGGCACAGGTTGAAGTCCCGGCTGCTGCACTTCCGATGCAGCTCCCTGCTAATGCACCTGGGAAAGCAGCGGAGGATGCCCCAGTGCTCGGGCCCCTGCCACTAAGAAGAAGCTCCTGGATCCTAGCTTTGGACCAGCCTAGTTCCGGCCATTTGAAGAGTGGACTGCAGATGGGAGATTCTCTCTCTCTCTCTCACTCTGCCTTTCAAGTGGATAAATACATATTTTTTAAAAATGCATGTAAGGGCTGAAACTGCAACACTTTTTTTTTTTATTTGACAGGCAGAGTTAGACAATGAGAGAGAGAGACAGAGAGAAAGGTCTTCCTTCCATTGGTTCACCCCCCCAAATGGCCACCACAGCCGGAGCTATGCCGATCCAAAGCCAGGAGCCAGGTGCTTCCTCCTGGTCTCCCATGCGGGTGCAGGGACCCAAGTACTTGGGCCATCCTCCACTGCACTCCCGGGCCACAGCAGAGAGCTGGACTGGAAGAGGGGCAACGGGGACTAGAACCTAGCACCCATATGGGATGCCAGTGCCGCAGGCGGAGGATTAACCAAGTGAGCCATGGCGCTGGCCCAAACTGCAGCACTCCTAAGGGAAGACATAGAGGTAAATCTGTGACACTGGGTTAAGCAATGTTTGGTTAGACAGGACACCAAAAGCATAAGCAACAACAATAAAATTGATAAATTGGATCTCATAAAATTAAAAACTTGTGCCTCAAAGGGTACCCTCCAGAAAGTGAAAAGACAATCCACAGAATTAGGAAACATTTGTCAGTTAGCTATCCTTGAACGAGTTTCCGGAATGCAAAAGAACTCAACTAAATAGTGAGGGGGTAGGTAACCCAAATCCCCAAGTAAGTGCAGGAAAGACGGGAAACAAAACCGCAGTGAGATACAATTTCACACCTCGAGGATGGATATGATCAGAGACAGACGAGAGCAAGTGTTAATGGTGTGGAGAGATGGGAACCCCCATTCATCGCTTGTGGGAATTTAAAATGCTGCAACTGCTGGGGGCGGCCCTGTGGCGTGGCGGGGAAAGCTGCTACCTGCAGTGCCAGCATCCCATATGGGTGGTAATTCGACTTCTGGCTGCTCCATTATTTGAGTTTCGGCTGTTCCACTTCCAATCCAGCTCCCTGCTGTGGCCTGGGAAGGCAGTGGAGGATGGCACAAGTGCTTGGGTCCCTGCACCCCATGGGAGACCAGGAAGAAGCGCCTGGCTCCTGGCTTTGGATCAGCCCAGCTCTGGCCATTGCGGCCGTCTGGGGAGTGAACCAGCGGATGCAAGACCTCTCTTTCTCTCTGTCTCTGTCTCTACCTCTCTCTGTAACTCTGTTTTTCAAATAAATAAAACAAAGCTTAAGAAACACACTCTGACAGCTCCTCAGAAAGTTACGTGTAGAATTACCATGTGATCAGGCACTTCCACTTCTGGGTCCTCCACAAGAGAAACCGAAATATGGGCGGGTGGTTATGATGCTGACTCGAAGTCTGAGCCGCAGATTAGAACTCCTGGATTCCCAGGCTCCTGCTCTGAGAGGCAGAGGGGTGCCCTAGGAGTTGCGTTCCTGCCACCCACCTGGGAGACTTGAATTCTCCGCGCCTGGCTTCATTGTGGACATTTGGGAGTGAACCAGTCGTCGGGAGCTCTCTCTGTCTCACAAATTAATAAATATTTAAATTGTGCTAAATGGAAAAAAAAATCACAGAAGACCATAGATTGCATGATTCTGTTCATTTGTCCAGAATAGGCAGATCTAAAGAGACAACAGCTCAGTAGCTGCTTAGGGCTGAGAGGTGAGCGAATGGGGAGTGACCGGTGGTAGGCACAGTTATTTGTTTTTGGGGTGATCAAAATGGCCTGAGGATGGGTGGTGATGATTGTTGGGTGACACTTGTATATTCACCACTCTGTGGATGTACAAAGAACAATGTCACTGGTCACTTTTAATGTATACTTTTAATGTATGCTGTCTGCACTTATCCCAACAAAGCTGTTAAAATGCATTTCTAGACATATATGGTTATACATAAATGCATAATACAGATGGATTTTAAAATACAGTCACGTGGTGCTTAATGATGGGAAATGCGTCGTTAGGCAATGTTACTGTTGGGAGACTCTTAGAGTGCGCTTAGACAGCTTAGATGACACCGGTCGCTCAGCGTCGGCTCTTGATGCAGTCAAGAGTCAAGGTGGGGGCCAGCGCTGTGGCCTGGCGGGTAAGTCCTGGCCTGCAGTGCGGCATCCCAGGTGGGCTCCCAAGCACTGGAGCTTTCCGGGATGCATCGGGAGGAAGCTGGATCGTAAGTGGAGCAGCCCAGACATGAACCAGCACTCCTGCAGGGGGTGCAGGTGTCCCGAGAACTGACTTAACTGCTGAGCCACACACCTGCCTCTATTCATGTATTTGACAGCAGAGAAGACAGAGAGAGGGAGCACACTTCAATCCACTACTTTGTTACCCAAATGTCCTCAATGGCCAGGGCTAGGCTAAGGCCAAAGCTAGGAACCAGGCCCTGAATCCAGCCCTCCCCTGTAGGTGGCAGGAACCCAATTACTTGGGCTATGGACGGCTACCTCCTAGGTCCTGCAAGAGCAGGAAGCTGGGGGCAGGAATTGGCCCAGGTATAGAACCCAGGTACTCTGATGTCGGGCGCATGTTTCTTTCTCTTTTTTTGAATTTTTTTTAAAATTTATTTATTTGACAGAGTTAGACAGTGAGAGTGAGAGACAGAAAGGTCTTCCTTCCATTGGTTCACTCCCCAAATGACTGCTATAGCCAGCACTGCGCCGATCCAAAGCCAGGAGCCAGGCACCTCCCCGGTCTCCCATGTGAGTGCAGGGGCCCAAGCACTTGGGCCATCCTCCACTGCCCTCCCGGGCCACAGCAGAGAGCTGGACTGGAAGAGGAGCAACTGGGACTAGAACACGGCACCCATATGGGATGCCGGCACCACAGGCGGAGGATTAACCAAGTGAGCCACAGAGCCGGCCCCTCCTTCTTTTTTCTTTTTAAAGATCAATTTTTTTTTTCAAAAGGCGGAGTTACAGTGAGAGAGGGAGAGAGAGAGAGAGGTCTTCCATCTGCTGGTTCATTCCCTGGGTGGCTGCAACAGCTGGAGCTGCACCGACCCAAAGCCAGGAACCAGGAGCTTCTTCTGGGTCCCCAACACAAGTGCAGAGGCCCAAGGACTTGGGCCATCTTCTACTGCTTTCCTAGGCCACAGCAGAGAGCTGGATCAGAAGTGGAGCAGCTGGGACTAGAGCCAGCGCCCATATGGGATGCCAGCACTGCAGGCGGCAGCCCCTGGGGCGCAGGTTTCTAGCTGCTAGACCAGATGCCTGCCCTGGGTGCTGCACTTTTATGTGACTGGCAGTGCAGTAGGTTTGTTGACAGCAATGTTACCACTGACATGTGAGTGATGTGTTGCCCAATGACATTGGGATGGCTATGATGTCACTAGGCCATAGGCATCTTCAGATTAATTTTGACCTTAGAACCACCATTGCATATGTGATCTACTGCTGGCCAGAGCATTGTTACATGGTGCAGGACTGTGTAACTAGGATCGTATTATACAGATACTTATGTGACATGATTTTGTCAGATAATAGAGTTCTCCTTGATTATTTTAAAAGGTTGCATAGTTTTCCAAAAATTGCAGTTTTCTTATTAGTTGAATTTGGTTGCCCAAAAACCAATGTCTTTACTGTTATAACATAATAAGCCACCCCTTGTAACATCGGCATCCCATATCTAAATACTGCTTTGAGTCCCGGCTGCTCCCCTTCTGATCCAGCTCCCTGCTAATGCACCTGTGAAAGCAGCAGAAGATGGCCCAAGTGCTTGATCCCTGTCACCCATGTAGGAGACCCAGACGAAGTTCCTGTATCCTGGCTTTAGCCTGGCCAGCCCCAGGGAGTGAACCAGGGGACGGAAGACCGATCTCTCTCTCGCACTGTGACTTTCAAAAAAAAAAAAAATCTTGGCGGTGCGGGCGGGGAGGGGACATGTAGGACACAGTAAACACAAACAGCTAGTAGAAAATGAGTAGAAAGGGGGGCTCAGTCATGAGAATAGTGAGTGACAGGTGTTGTGATGCAGCGGGTTAAGTTGCCCCTTAGAATGACTGTTTCACACATCAGAGTGTTGATTTCAGTCCCGCCTGCTCTGCTTCTGATCCAACTCCCTGCTAATGCGCTTGGGAGGCAGCAGATGATGGTCCCCGCCGCCCACGTGGGAGACTCAGATGGAGTTCCTGGCTCTTGGCTTCGGCCTGGCACAGCTGGGCCCTTGCAGCCATCTGGAGAGTGCTCCAGCAGGTGGAAGGTCTCTCTGTTTCTCCCTCTTTCTGTAACGCTGCCTTTCAAATAAACAAATACATCTTTAAAAAAAATTAAGACCTAAATAAATGGAAAGATACCTCATGTCCATGGGTTGGAAGACTCAATGTTGCTATGGTGACAATAGAATCCAAACCAATCTAGATTCGATGCAATGGCCACCCAAATCCCAACCACCAGATTTTACAAAAATAGAAACATTCATTCTAGTATTTATCTGGCATCTATGGGACCCCGAACAGTGAAAGCAAACTTGAAAAAGAAAAAGTTGGAGGTGCTGGCACTGTGGCGTAGCAGGTAAAGCGGCCACCTGCAGTGCTGGCATCCTATATGGGCACTGGTTCGAGTCCCGGCTGCTCCCCTTCCAATCCAGCTCTATGCTATGGTCTGGGAAAGCAGTAGAAGATGGCCCAAGCCCTTGGGTCCCTGAATCTGCATGGGAGACCCGGAAGAAGCTCCTGGCTTCAGATCGGCACAGCTCCAGCCATTGTGGCCATCTGTGGAGTGAACCAGCAGATGGAAGACCTCTCTCTCTCTCTCTCTGTCTAACTCTGACTTTCAAGTAAATAAATAAATCAATCTTAAAAAAAAAAAAAGAAAAAGAGGCTGGCACCGTGGCTCACTAGGCTGATCCTCCACCTTGTGGCGCCGGCACACCGGGTTCTAGTCCCGGTCGGGGCGCCGGATTCTGTCCCGGTGGCCCCTCTTCCAGGCCAGCTCTCTGCTGTGGCCAGGGAGTGCAGTGGAGGGTGGCCCAGGTGCTTGGGCCCTGCACCCCATGGGAGACCAGGAGAAGCACCTGGCTCCTGGCTTCGGATCAGCGCTGCGTGCCGGCCGCGGCAGCCATCGGAGGGTGAACCGACGGCAAAGGAAGACCTTTCTCTCTGTCTCTCTCTCTCTCTCTCTCACTGTCTAACTCTGCCTGTCAAAAAAAAAAAAAAAAAAAGAATAAAAAAAAAAAAAAAAGAGAGAGAGCTCATCTGCATATCAAAACCGTGAGACGCCAGCTTTCCTTCCCAGGACGAATGAGGAGGAGCTAGGCGGCTACTGAGGATTGACGACGGCGTAGAGAGACTGGAACAGGAGCGTACGTTGCACGGAGTGTGAAACGTTGCAGCTGCTATGGAAAACAGGATAGCCCTTCCTCGAAAAGCTAAACGTGGAACGGCCGTGTGACTCAGCAACGCCTCTGCCGGGCGGTGAAAGCCGGCCCAGACGTTTGTATGCTGATGTTTGCTGCAGTGCTGTTCACAAATTTCTAGAAGGTAGGACAACTTTGGTGTCCCTCAGCAGATGAGCTGGATAAGCAAAATGGAACACATTCATATCGTGGCATTTTCTTCATTCATACAAAAGGACCAAGTTGGTTTCCATGTTACAACGGGGTGGACCTTGAAGACTAACCAAGTGACAGAAGCAGACGTGAAAGACCAGACATGGGGCAGCTGGGATATGCACAGTCATAGAAAAAGAAAGTGGATTAGACACTACCTGGGTTGTGGGGATGGAGAATCATGGGATGGGAGTTATTGCTGAGTGCGTGGCTTCTATCTGGGGTAATGAAAAGCTTTGTAAACAGTCGTAAAGGTTGCAAGTGGAATTGTGAATACAGGGGCCGGTGCTGTGGCGTAGCAGGTAAAGCCGCCGCCTGCAGTGTCGGATCCCATATGGGCGCCGGTTTGAGTCCTGGATGCTCCACTTCCAGCCCAGCTCTCTGCTATGGCCTGGGAAAGCAGTAGAAGATGGCCCAAGTCGTTGGGCCCCTGCACCTGCATGGGAGACCCAGAAGAAGCTCCTGGCTCCTGGCTTTGGATCAGCACAGCTTCAGCTGTTGAGCCAATTAGGGGAGTGAACCAGCGGGTGGAAGACCTCTTTCTCTGTGCCTTTCCTTTTCTCTCTGTGTAACTTGGACTTTCAAACAAATAAATAAATCTTAAAATAAAAAATTGTGAATACAATTAATGGTGCTGAGTTGTACATCCAGAAATTGGTAACAAGGGAAAAATTTAAAAAATATATTTATTTGAAAAACAAAGTTATAGACAGAGGGAGGGACAGAGAAATCTTCCATCCACTTGTTCACTCCTCAAATGGGCACAATGGCCAGGGCTGGGCCAGGTCAAAGCCAGGAGCCTGGAACTCCATCTGGGTCTTCTAGGTGGGTGCAGGGGCCCAAACACTTGGGCCATTTTTCCCTGCTTTCCCAGGTGCATTATCAGGGAGCTGGGTAGGAAGTGGAGCAGCCGGGACTTGAACCAGCACTCATATGGGACGCTGGCACGGCAGGCAGCAGCTTAACCTGCTGTATCACATAAATATACATACTTATATTTATCGCAATTTAAAAGAATTAATAATGTAATATACCCAAGCCATTGAATCACACATTTAAATTGGTGAATTTTATGGTACATGAATTTCTCTCCCTAAAGCTGTTTACGTATAAACATCAAAGCATGGAAAAAGACATGCCATATGTTCAGTCATCAAGTTTTTGCTTGCTCTGAGAAAATGGAGTTGGGCCCTTTAAATATTCCTCCCGTGTGGAAGGGTTTTCCTTCCTGCTTCTGGCTGCTTGCTAGGCGGCCTTCTTCACCCACGGGGCTTCTCCGGCACGGGGCTTCTCCGAGCACGGGGCTTCTCCGGCGGCTCGGGGCTTCTCCGGCACAGGGCTTCTCCGGCACCTGCCTCCTGCTGCGTTGCCAGCTGCCAGAGGCTTCTCCCAACACCTGCCCCAGGCTGTAATTTTAGCGGGGAGCCTCTGGTGAGACACCTCCCTGGAAACAGCTTTCCCAAGCCCCTTGGGCTGGATTCGCAGTGGTTCTGTGAGTTGGCACCGTGGCTGATTTCCAAGGTGCCACAGCCCCGTCCTGTCCATCAGGGTCTGGCCCTCAGCCCTGGGGGAGTCCCCACCCTACAGTAGGGGCTGCTCCTAGTTGTCTGCTATTCCTATACTGTTCAATGTTCTCTCTATTTCTGACTAGCAACTTCTTCTAATTCCAATCATTTGGGATTGTTAATAAATCTTTCTATTAAACTTTCGTTGTACAGATTACTATGTGGTTTCTTTTAATTGGTTCTGGACTGAAGCATCATGCTAGCAATAGGTAAGAGAAAGCAGGACCGGGACTGGCATTGGTCTTAGTGGGTAAGAGACCTGTGTCCCAGATCACAGCACCTGGGTTCGAGTCTCGGCTACACTCCAGAGTCCAGCATTCCTGCCAACATGGACCCTGAGAGGCAGCAGATGATGGGTCAAGTAGCTGAGTCTCTGCCATCCCTGGGGGAGCCCTGGATTCAGTTCCTGGCTCCCCGCTTTGGCTGTTGCGGGCATCTGGGGCGTGAACGTTTGGGGCAGATGGGAGCTGTGTGTCTATTTCTCTGCCTCAAGAAAGGGAGGGAGGGAGGGAGGAAGAGAGGGAGGGAGGGAGGGAGGCAGAGAGAGGGACTGGTGTTGCAGTGCATACAGTGGGTAAAACCGCTGCCTATGATGCCAGCATCCCATATGGGCACAAGTTTGAGTCCTGGCTGCTCCACTTCTGATCCAGCTCCCTGCTAACGCACCTAGGAAAGCAGGGAAGGATGGCCCAAGTGCTTGTGCCCCTGCGTCCACGTGGGAGGCCTGAAAGAAGCTCCTGTATCCTGGCTTCAGCCTGGCCCAGCCCTGGCCATTGCAGCCACGTGGTAGTGAACCAGGGGATGGAAGACCTTTCCCTCTGTCTCTCCCTGTCTCTGTCTGTAGCTCTGCCTCTCAAATAAATAAATGAAAATGAAAATAAAATTCTTCAAAACAAAACAAAACCATGAAGTAGAATGGTAGACCAGGGGCTGAGGGAGAGGGAATGGGGGGGTGAATGCTCGTTGGTACAGAGTTCTAGTTTGCTAAGATGAAAAGCATTCTGGAGGAGGAGGGTGGTGATGGTTGTACAACATTATGAAAGAACTCATTGCCACAATGGGGGCCAGCACCGTGGCACAGTAGGTTAATCCTCCGCCTGCAGTGCCTGCATCCCATATGGGTACTGGTTCTAGTCCTGGTTGCTTGTGTCTTTCCAGAGAATGCGGGACCACCCATTTGGGTACCAGTCAGAAACACGAAGCCCGCAACTGACAGTCAACCAGAACCAGCTGAACCAGACTGAGAGTCCGCCTTGTTAGCAGACGCACCTGCCCTATCATCCTACCCTGAGAATCTGCCCAGAGCCACATCCATTATTGTTTTATACTCCACCAGCTCTGGTCAGCCACTGGAACGGCCCACAGCCTGCGTGCGGTCACGCCAGTCCTGATTACCACTGTTCCTCATTCCTACCCCCATCTGAGCAAGCACTCCTGTGGTCTCCTGTTTTGAGCGCTGGTTAGTCAATGACGGGTAAGATCCCCTGGGGGACAACTAAGGCACAGCCACATCCAGAGACCGCATGGACACGCGGCCAACAATGGTATGGCCAAGAATCATGCCTCCTGTTGCTCAAAAATAAATGAGAAGGGGAAATGTGGTAGAATGAGAAGGCCATGCCAAGATGGCCACTGGCAAGCAGGCATTAATTACTCAGGAATGGCTTCGGAACCCTCCTGGCAAAGGAGCCTGCCTGGCAACAGACAGTGATTGGTTAGGGCATAGACTGCCCCTTGACCGGATTGGCTGCCTCGGCCATTTAAGCTGCTGCACCAACTGAAATAAACGAGTCTGCAGGCTGCTTGCCTCAGGCCTGCTTTCACCCGACTCCCGGGGTCTGTGTGGTGACTCCGCGCCTCTTGCCCCCACCACGCTCCTCCTCTCAGAACTCCTCCTCTCAGTCCTGGCTGCTCCTCTTCCAATCCAGCTCTCTGCTGTGGCCTAGGAAAGCAGTGGAAGATGGTCCAAGTCCTTCATGGGAGACCAGAAAAAGGGCACCTGGCTCCTGGCTTTACATCAGTGCAGCTCTGGCCGTTGCAGCCATCTGGGGAGTGAACCAGTGGATGGAAGACCTCTCTCTCTGTCTCTCCCTCTCACTGTCTGCAATTCTACCTCTCAAATGAATAAATAAAATCTTAAAAAAAAGAACTTATTGCCACTGAACCGTAAAAATGGCAAGAAAATAAAACAGATAGACATTGCTCATGAAGATAGATGCAAAAATTCTTATTTATTTTTATTTAAAAATTTTGTTTTATGTTTAAGGCAGAGAGAGAGAGAGAGAGTCAGAGAGATCTTCCATCTACAGGTTCACTCCCCAAATGGCCACAACTGCCAAGGCTGGGCCAGGCTGAAGCCAGGAGCCAGGAGCTTCTTCCAGTTCTCCCACGTGGATGGCAGGATCTCAAGCACTTGGGCTGTCGTCCGCCACATCCCAGTCACATTAGCGGGAAGCTGGATCAGAGGCCGAGTGGCCAGCGCTGGAGCTGGCTCACTGATGCCGGATGCAAGAGCCCCAAGCTGAGGCTCAGGCCGCACACGGCAATGACAGCCTCCTTATAACTTAAAGTTCGAGTCCTTTGACCAACATCTCCCCGTCTCCCCACCGTTGCAGATGCAAAACTTTTAACAAAATTTCAAACCAAACAAAATTTTAACAGAAGAAATAGAATTACTCATAGGGGCTGGTGTAGTGGTCCAGCGAGTTAAGTAGCCATAATCCCAATATGAGCGCTGGTTCAAGTCCTAGCTGCTCTGCTCCGATCTGGATCCCTGCTAATAGGTCTGAGAAAGCAGCCAAAGAGACTGCTGGCCATTGCCTTTGCAGCCATCTGGGGAGTGAACCAGTGGGTGGAAGATCTCCGTCTTTCTTTCCCTCTCTGCAACTCTGCCTTTCAAATAGATAAAGGTTTTAAAAGTTAACACCAAAAAACCATAGCCATAGAATTTATGGCTATGTGTTGTAGAATTCCCAGGAATCCAGGGACAGGCATTTGGCATAGGGATTGAGACGCCACTTGGGACACCCACATCGCACATCCGAGTGCTGGTCAAGTCCCAGCTCCTCTGCTCCCCATCCAGCTTCTCGCTGGTGCCCCCGGTGCCCTGTTGGGAATGAGCAATCAGAAAGCTCCCACTGGTTTTATCACATGGTCCAGCAACTCCACCTCCAGGCACGTGACCCAACGCAGTGAGAACAGGGTCCTGAGGAGACTCGCACACCCGCGTTGGAAGTGACTCAGGTGTCCGACAGACGAATGCAGAAACAAAGTGTGCTGTGAACACCGGCCGGGGTTGTCAGAATCACAGGAGCCAGAGAGCAGGAGGGTTCCCAGGCACTGGGGTGGGTGTGTGTGTGTGTGTGTGTGGATGGGGAGTGGGATGGCTGTTTAAGGTACATAGGTTTGCAAGACAGAAAAGTTCTGGGCATAGTTGCATGGCCACGTGAACATACACAACTCTACTGAGCTGTACACTTAAACCAAATATGTGAAAATGGCAAATTCTGTTTTGCAAAATTTACTTCAATTAGAAGTAAGAGAGATGGGGCCAGAGCTGTGGCATAGTCGGTAAAGCTGCTGCCTGCGACGCTGACGTCTCATATTAGTGCCGGTTCGGGTGCTGGTTCAACCACTTCCCAGTGCAGCTCCCTGCTAATGTGCCTGGGAGAGCAGCGGAAGATGACCCAAGTGCTTGGGCCCCTGCACCCATGCGGGAGACCCGGATGAAGCTCCTGGTTCCAGGGGTCAGCCCTGGTCATTGTGGCCATTTGGGGAGTGAACCGACAGATGGAAGGTCGCTCTCTCTTCATCTCTCCATCTCTGTAACTCTTTCAAATACCAAAAACAAACAAACAGAGAGAAAATAACAAAAAAAAGAGGAGGAAATGAAGAGGAAAAATGAAAGTGGGAGATGGGCTGGTGTTGTTGGGATGCAGCAGGTTTAGTGCCCTTGGGACCCTTGCAGTGCTGGTTGGAGTCCCAGCTACTTTTACTAAACATTCCACTAAACAACATGTTACATACATAACTGACAGGCTGGTGTTTAAAAAAAGATTTATTTATTTATGTGAAAGGCAGAGTTACAGAAAGGGGTTGGGGGGGGAGAGAGAGCATCCATCACTAACTCATTCTCCATGGCTGCAATGGCCAGAGCTGGGCCAAGCCCAGGCCAGAAGCCAGGAGCTTCCTCTGGGTCTTCCATGGCGGTGCAGGGCCCCAAGCTCTTGGATCATCTTCTTCTCCTTTTCCAGGTGCATTAACAGGGAGCTGGATCAGAAGTGGAGCAGCTGAGTCTTGAACCTGTGTGGGGAAATCAGTTACACGAAGCAATTCAAAGATGGTGTCGAGAGGAAGTAAGGTGGGCGGAAACCAAAGTTGTTTACCACCAAAGCTAACTGGCTACGAACACCAGGAGAAGTGGCAATAACTGATAGCAAGTGTACAGACGTGGCCAGTCCTGTGAAAATCGCCCAGTAACATGGCCCTTCCAGTGACTGGTTGGTCTTTATGCCCCGCCCCATTGACTCTGCAGTTTTGTGCTTTATAAGGCTCTGTTTCACGCGACATAAACGGGTTCTTGCTAGACTTGACTCCCCGCTGCATCTGACTGTCTCCGGGATCGGGAGGCTGGGGCACGGCGGGCGGCGCGCTTACCTTTCCTCGGACCCAGTCCATCCTTGTGCAGGTGGACTCAGACCCTGCAGCCTGCACCTATATAGGACACCACATCACAGGCGGAGGTTTAACCTGCTATGCCGCAGCACCAGCTCCAATAAATAATTTTTTTTTTTTTGACAGAGTGGACAGAGAGAGAGACAGAGAGAAAGGTCTTCCTTTGCCGTTGGTTCACCCTCCAATGGCCACAGTGGCTGACGCACCGTGCTGATCCAAAGCCAGGAGCCGGGTGCTTCTCCTGGTCTCCCATGCGGGTGCAGGGACCCAAGTACTTGGGCCATCCTCCACTGCACTTCCCTGGCCACAGCAGAGAGCTGGCCTGGAAGAGGGGCAACCGGGACAGAATCTGGCGCCCCGACCGGGACTAGAACCCGGTGTGCCAGCGCCGCAAGGTGGAGGATTAGCCTAGTGAGCCGCGGCGCCGGCTATAAATAAATCTTAAAAAATTTAATTCCTTGGGGCTGGCGTTGGGGCAGAGGGAGCTAAGCTACCACCTGCAATGCTGGGATCCCACATGAGTGGTGGCTCCACTTCCTATCCAGCTCCCTGCTATTGCCCCTGGGAGGGCAGCAGACGAGGACTCAGGTGCGTGGGTCCCTGCCACCCATGGGACCCGGATGGAACCCAGGCTCCTTGCTTTATTCTTGCCCAGCTCAAGATGTGGCTATTTGGGGAGTGGATCAGCAGATGGAAGACCTTTTTATGTCTCTCCCTCTCTGTTGCTCTGCCTTTCAAACCTTTTTTTTTTTTTAAGATTTTATTGATTTATTTGAAAATCAGAGTTAGGGACGTCTTCCATCTGCTGGTTCACTCCTCAAATGGCCACAACAGACAGAGCGGTGCCAGGCTGGAGCCAGGAGCCTCTTCCTGGTCTCCCATATGGGTGCAGGGGCTCAAGTACTTGGGCCATCCTCCACTGCTTTCCCATATGCATTAGCAGAGAGTTGGATCAGAAGTGGAGCAGGCAGGATACAAACTGGTGCCCATTTGAGATGCCTACACTGAAGGTGGCAGCTTAAACTGCTGTTCCACAGCACCGGCCTCTGCCAATCTTTTTATTTATTGGAAAGGCAGAGTTACAGAGAAAGGGAGAGACGGGGGGAGAGGAGAGAGAAGAGGGGAGAGGGGAGAGGGGAGAGGGGAGAGGGGAGTGGGGAGAGGGGAGAGAGAGATCTTCCATACACTGGTTTGCTCCCCAAATGGCTGCAACAGCCAGGGCTCAGCCAGGGGAAAGCCAGGAGCCACGGACTCAGTCTGGGTCTCCCCTGTGGTGTGGCGGCAGGGCCAGGGTCCCGGGCTATCATCTGGTGCCGTCCCAGGTGCAGTAGCAGGAAGCTGGATTGGAAGCAGGGCGGCTGGGATTTGAACTGGCGCTCCAACATGGGGCGCTGGCATGGCGAACAGCAGCCTACCCAGCTGTGCCACATCCCGGGGCCACCACCTGCCACAGTTTCACTGTGCCGTGGGCCAACACTGCTGATTGATTTTTAAATGTTCCACTTCTGTCAGAGGTAGAGAACAGCGCTGGCCTCTGTTTATTCAGATAATTGATACATGCAGCACAAATGCATGATTAGTCACCGATTTGTGAACAAAACCAGGAAGCTCTCAAACATTTTTTGAATTTCAGGAGTGCTGGTGCTGTTACAAATTAGGTAAAGCTGCCGCCTGCAGTGCCGGCATCCCATATGGGCACCAGTTTGAGTCCCGGCTGCTCCTCTTCCAATCCAGCTCTCTGCTGTGGCCTGGAAAAGCAGTGAAAGATGGCCCAAGTGCTGGGGCCCCTGCACCTGCGTGGGAGACCTGGAAGAAGCTCCTGGCTCCTGGCTTCGGATCGCCACAGCTCGGGCCGCTGCGGCCAATTGGGAGTGAACCAGCGGATGGAAGACCCCTCTCTCTCTGCTTCTGCCTCTCTGTAGCTCTGTCCTTCAAATAAATAAATCTTAAAAAACAAAAAATCAAAAACCTAGCACTTGGTTTGTTTAAAAAAATATTCTGTAAGATATTGGTGGAGACAACAGCTCTAACATACCTAAAACAATGCAATGGGGGCTGGCGCTGTGGCATAAAGCCACCGCCTGCAGCGCCGGCATCCCATATGGGCGCTGGTTCGAGTCCCAGCTGCTCCTCTTCCGATCCAGCTCTCTGCTGTGGCCTGGGAGAGCAGCAGAAGATGGTCCAAGTCCTTGGGCCCCTGCACCCACGTGGGAGACCCAGAATCTCCTGGCTCCCGGCTTCGGATCCGCTCAGCTCAGGCCGCTGCAGCCAACTGGGGAGTGAACCAGCAGATGGAAGATCTCTCTCTCTCTCTGCCTCTCTGTAACTCTGCCATCAAAAAAATAGGGACCATTATGCACACACCACCCGCACACGCGTGTACAGGCACTGGGTGGCCACCGTCTTTCCTAGGCAAGGATTTCCGAAATCTTGGCTTGCCTGGCCTTTTCTATTCATTCCCATTCCTTCTACCGTCTTGAGTCTCGGTAGCGGTACGTAAGTTCCACGCTGGTGCATGAAATTCAAACAACTAAGGCAACACTGCCTCTCAGCCTGTCCCTCCAGCCAGTCCTCGCGGACTCAGCAGAGAACAAGACAGCCAGGGGCCCCACAGTTCTGAGGAGACAGAAGCAATCCCGCCAGTCAGTGACAGCCAGGGTCCGTAAGGAAGAAGTCAGGGCGACAGGAACACCGCGTACGCGGACGCCGAAGCCCGAGCAAGCGCAAGCCACGGCCCACGGCCACACAGCCGGCGCGGTCACGTGCCGCGCGCGGGGGGCGGGGCGGGGCCCCGGCCTCGGTGCCTGGGACTGGGCGCCCGGGGGAGGCGGAGCCACGGAGGGCCGCACGTGATCCGGCGGGGCGGGGCCGGGCCGAGAGCGGCGGAACGCGCATGCTCGCGGGCACGTTTCCGGCCGGAGGGTTTTGCCGAGCGCCCCGCGTCCCTTGGGGGGCCGCGGTGGCGGTGGAGACAGCGGCTGGGGGGGCTCCGGAAGTCAACGCCATGTCGAGCCTGCACCGGAGCCGGTAAGGGGCCCCGGGGGCCGACCCGCCAGGCCGCCGTCGGCCGGGCCGCCCCCTTCTGCGCCTCAGAGCCGGGGCGCGGCGGGCGGCGGGGTGTCCACTCCGCGCCCTCGGCGGAGCCCGGCCGCTCTCCCTCGCTCTCCCTGGGCCTGGGGGCGGCGTCCGGTGCCCCGTGCCGGCCTCGTCGTCCCGCGCCCCGTTCTGCCCACTTCCCCGGCCCTGGGGAACCTGACCGCGGGCGGCCCCTCCCCCGAGGCGGGAGCTGCAGGCTGGGCTCCCCTCTAGGACTCGGTTTTCTAACGGCCCGTCCTTGCCAGCGCGGGCCCGGAGGTCCCGCAGCGGGGAGGGCTGCGTGCGGGTTGCGGGTCGGGTTACTCCTGGTTCCCGGGGCTCGCCGAGCTCAGGTGGTGGCGGTGCTGGGGGCTGGGCCTGGCCAGCACAGAGCCCAGAAAATGCCAGCTCACTGTGTAGTGGGATGTGCCTAAGCCTGGGGGGTTCGTGTGACGCCCTCTGGACGAGAATATCTTCGGGTTTCTTCACTGACGTTCTGATCTTCCGAGCACAGAGGAAGAGTGACCTCGGTTGTTTTAATGATTTATTTTATTTTATTAGCATTAGAGAGAGAGGGAGAGGGAAGTCTTCCATCCACTGGTTCACTCCCTAAAAGGCAGGGCTGGGCCGGAGCCAGGAGCTTCCTCTGGGTCTCCAACGCGGGTGCAGGGCCCAAGGACCTGGGCCATCTTCCACTGCTCTCCCAGGCCACAGCAGAGAGCTGGATCGGAAGTGGGGCAGCTGGGACTTGAACCAGCACTCTTACGGGATGTCGGCACTGCAGGCGGCGGCTTTACTTTACCCGCTACGCCACAGCGCCAGTTCTAATCTATGGTTTTCTAGTTCCCCAAAGTTGGTGCGGACCTTGACTGGGCCTTGCTATTTTTTTAAAAAGATTTATTTATTTACTTGAGAGGTGGAGTCACAGAGAGAAGGAGAGGCAGAGAATCTTCCACCCGCTGGGTCACTCCCCAGATGGCCACAACGGCTGGAGCTGGGCCAATCCAAAGGCAGGAGTCAGGAGCTTCTTCCGGGTCTCCCACACAGGTGCAGGGACCCAAGCACTTGGGCCATCCTCCGGTACTTTCCCAGGCCACAGCAGAGAGCAGGATTGGAAGTGGAGCAGCTGGGGCTAGAACCAGCACTCTTACGGGATGCCGGCACTGCAGGCGGCGGGCGGCTTTACCCGCTACGCCACAGCACCAGCCTTGAGCTTTGCCATTCTAAAAAATTATTATTCCTAGTTGAGAGGCAGAATGATGGGGGAGGAGAGGTTATCCACTTACTGGTTCCCTTTCCAGGTGCCCACAGTGGCCGAGGCTGGGCCGGGCCAAAGCCGGTGCCAGGAGCTCCATCAGGACCCCGCCTGCGGATGGCAGGACTCAGTGCTTGAGCCGTCATGTCTGCCGGCCAGGCGCATTAGCAGGAAGTGGGTCCCGAGCAGTGCTGTGTGGGATGTAGGCATCTGTTTTTGTTTTTAGTTTTTTTAATTATTTATTTGCAAGAGTTACAGGAAGAGGGAGAGACAGAGAGGTCTTCCATCTGCGCGTTCATTCTCCAAATGGCCATAATGGCTGGAGCTGGGTCAATCCAAAGCCAGGAGCCAGGAGCTTCTTCCTGGGCTCCCATGTGGGTGCAGGGGCCCCAGCACGTGGGCCATCCACTGCTGCTTTCTCAGGGGCATTAGCAGGGAGCCGGCTGGGAAGTGGAGCAGCCGGGACTTGAACTGGTGCCCGTGTGGGCTGCAGGCATCCTGAGTGGCAGTTTAAGGGGCTGTGCCACAGCGCCTGCCCCAAGCTTTGGCTCTTGTGTGTCCTGAGGGAGCGGAGGGGACAGGTTGGGGTGGGCGGAGCCAGCGAGCTGGGGGCTCCCTGGGGTGGTGCTGCATCTGCCCTCTCTCCCTCTAGGATCGCAGAATTCCAGGACGTGCTGAAGGAGCCCTCGATCGCGCTGGAAAAGCTGCGCGAACTCAGTTTCAGTGGTGAGGGGCCTCTCTGCACTGGGGTTCCCGGGGGGGGCCTCTCTGCACTGGGGTTCCCGGGGGGGGGCCTCTCTGCACTGGGGTTCCCGGGTGGGGGCCTCTCTGCACTGGGGTTCCCGGGGGGGCCTCTCTGCACTGGGGTTCCCGGGGGGGCCTCTCTGCACTGGGGTTCCCGGGTGGGGGCCTCTCTGCACTGGGGTTCCCGGGTGGGGGCGGGTGCCTGAGGCCCCCTGGCCGGTTTCGGGGCCGCCCTGCCTCAGCCCTTGTCCGGCTCCCGTGGAACCGAGCAGTGACTGGGCGCCAGGGTCTCCGGGAGCTGTGGGCCTGATGGGACTGGGGGGAGGGGGCGGGGCGGGGCCGTGCGAGCCGGGTTGGGACTTCCTGCTTCCTCGGCGGCTCCCTCCGTGGCGGAGTCTGCCCTACTGCCGGCCGGCTCTTGCTTCTCTTCCGCCGAGACCACAGTGAACTTTGGTTAATGGTGAAATTCCAGCCTTGAGGCGCTGACCGAAGGAGCGGAAAGCTGACCTTGCCCTCCCGGGGTGGGGGTGAATCTTGCCGCGAGCCTGTGCAGATCCCCGCAGGTCTCCCGCAGCGCCTTGTCCCCGCCCCGCCCCGCCGGTGGTCTCCACCTCCCGTGTGGGGACAGCTGCCTTGGGCTCTCCGACAGCCGTCGGGAGAAGTTGTCTGTGCTCAGGGTGCTGCTCAGGCCTTTGAGGGCAGGTGGCGTGTGCCAGGGGTTCAGGACCTGCGTTCAGGTCCCCGGTTCTTTCCTGACAGATATGAGGGGTTTCAGAAAGCTCATGGAAAATACAGATTACGAAAAAAACAATTTCGCCATTTTTTTTTCTTGCATCAAAATAAACTTAACTAGCGTGGGCTTGGGTGCAGTGGCTAAGGTGCTGTGTCCCGTGTGGAGTGCCTGGGTGTAAGTCCGGGTCCGGTTCCCCTTCTGTGGTGACGTGCGTTCTGGGAGGCGGCGGGGCTGAGTCAGCGCACTGGATCCCTGCCACCACGTGGAGTCCTGGATCGCACTCCAGGCTCCCGGCGTCAGCCTGGCCCAGCCCCAGCCGTTGCAGACGCTGGGGAGTGAACCAGCGGGTGAGATAGCTGTCTCTCTCACTGTGTGTCATCTGTTTTTTTTTTTTTTCCCTTGTATTTCTTTCAAATAAATAGGAATACATTTAACAAAATGAAAAACTTATCCTTTAATTCCATTCATGAGCTTTTTGAAGCTCCCTTATACGTTTCCTGTCTGTAGGTGAAGACGTGGGGCACTCGCCCCTGCTCCCTGGGCTACAGTGAGCCCCAAGCAGACACTCGTCTCTGAAGCGCGCAGCACTTAGCATCCACAGCTTAGTGTTTTGTTTTTTTTTTTTTTCCCCACAGGCAGAGTGGACAGTGAGAGAGAGAGACAGAGAGAAAGGTCTTCCTTTGCTGTTGGTTCACCCTCCAATGGCTGCCGCGGCCGGCGCGCTGCGGCCGGCGCACCGCGCTGATCCGATGGCAGGAGCCAGGTGCTTCTCCTGGTCTCCCATGGGGTGCAGGGCCCAAGCACTTGGGCCATCCTCCACTGCCCTCCCTGGCCACAGCAGAGAGCTGGCCTGGAAGAGGGGCAACCGGGACAGAATCCGGCGCCCCGACCGGGACTAGAACCCGGGGTGCCAGTGCCGCAAGGTAGAGGATTAGCCTATTGAGCCACGGCGCCGGCCCACAGCTTAGTTTTTAAAGTGTTTTTATTTGAGAGAGAGACAAATAACTCCCATTCACTGATTCCACCCTCTAAACGGCCAGGGCTAGGCCAGGTCGAAGCCAGGAACTGGGAACCCGTTCAGGTGACTCACGTGGGTAGTTGGGCCCACTTTTGTTTGTTTGA